ATGTTAATACGCTTATGTAGCATTGATAACTGAGCAAATGGATATCAATTTAGTTTTATGTAATAAACTGGCACTTTTTAAAGACAGAAGGCTGGAATCACAAACTAATGGACCCACATGCTACAGTGAGGTGTGAAAGAAACAGATGTGAACAGAACTATTTCAGTTGCAGCCTGGGCCACTGACAGGGGAGGATAGAAAGAGGCAGGTGCCCTGGGGTCCAGATATTTAAAAGGGCCCTGGTCTCCCAGCTGCTGCTACTACATCAGCAGCAAAAGCCTCGGGCCGTTTAAATTGCCTCCCCACCATGGCACCCTGTTCCTGAGGATATGGCGCTTGTGGATTACTGGGAGGCCTGAATGCTGCTTCCATGACGCACCAGCTCCCCTGTCCCAGTGATCCCCCAAAGCCACATCCGTTAAGGAGAGGGTGGTGTGATGGTGAGAAGGGGCGGGGCTTCAGGACTGGTAAGAGACAGGTCTCCCTGGCCTGCTGGGACTTCCACTCTGTCTGGAGATGGCCCACAGGCTGGCAGTTTGAGGCCCTCTGTCTAGATCAACGTTTCTTAGTGTGATCCGTGGCACACCAGTATGCCGCGAGGCAGTTGGAGGTGTGCCGCAGAGAACAGAGTTCAAAATGGCTGCCCTTAAAAGGGCAATGCCTGCTCATCTGATAAAAGGGAAAACTATTTGGGTTTTTTTGCTTGACTTCTTTTCCCCATCCTCTTTTGTTTGTTTTGCTCAACAACTTTTCTCTTGGAAATGGCTGACCTTAAAGGGTCAAGGCTCCTTTTTTCCCCCCCAACAAAAAAAATGCTTGGTGTTCCCCATAAAAAAAAATTGTTTGGTATTCCTTGGTCTTAAAAAGTTTAAGAAACACTGGTCTAGATAATACATAGTCTTCCCTGAGTGCAGGGGAATAGACAAAGTGACCCAGAGGTCCCATCCAGTCCTACAATTCTATGGTGTGTGTGTGTGTGTGTGTGTGTGTGTGTGTGTGTGTGTGTGTGTGTGTGTGTGTGTGTGTGTGTGTGTAAACATGTCCTAATATACATTTTACTGAATTCAATGGTTGCCTTTTCCTTAACTTCAGTGGGAGTTGCATCAGACACTTGTTGCATCCACAAGCATGTCAAATCTTTTGAATTGCTTCTAGTATTTGGAAACCAGTATTATTATCAAATACTGGTGGGGTTGTATCAAAGTAGCTGCAAACCTGACTTCTTAGTAAGTAGACTTACTTGGGATTTAAGCAGAAGGATAGGATGGAATTCACCCTTGTAATCTGCAGGCAGAGGGCAATTTTGCAATCCCTTTAGAATAATTAAGGATTGTGGAGTTGCCCTAGCCCTAGGTGGCAGTTTATGGCAAGCATTTTCCATAACAGTGGACTGACTGACCACTCATCCATTCCTCTCCTCCTAATCATCCATTCACAGTACCCTTGTAAAACTGGTATGGGGGCCAGCTGTGATGAACTGAAGAACTGCAGAATACATCACAAACCTGTGAGAAGCCCACCAATGTTGGGGGCTGTCCACAACTCTTGTTATAATGAATAAGGTTCACCCACTGAGATTAGGAAGATTAATGTGGTTACCTGCCATGATTCTGTTGGTTTTCATATTTTAACATGTTCACTACAGTTTTTGAAAAAGATATAGCACCACAAGTTCTCAACAATTCTTTGTTTGCATCTCCTGCTCTTCCCTTGTTTTTTGTTTTTTTTGTTATTGATGGCTTATTGTGGGTTAAAAATTAAAATACCTGACATCTGGAGCACTAACACATGAATTCATAATAACACTAAGTGGAAGAATCTAGTCAATGTCTCCTTAAATCTGATGGCAATAAATATGAGCTCCATTTCTCTTTTGGGCTAATTGAATGATTGACTGAATTTGATTCTCAACTCTCTTCCTTTCGGACTTGATCAGATGTGAAGGCGGTCTGAAGAAAAATATCTAAGTGGGGGGAAAAGCATATCCATTTTTATGTGTGGACAATTGTCTGTTTTATTCTTTTACTGGAAGGATTAGTTAAAGAATAACAAAATAACTTTTTTTTATTTTGTTAGCTTTATGAAGTGGCCCCATCATATAGTTGTTGAGCACATGAAAAAAATAAAAAAAAGACAGTAAATCACTGATCAATGTCACCATAAGTAAACGTTCAATGAACAATTAAAGTATACAAATACCGCTGGCTTGAGGAAGTAGATGAGCCTTGTAACTTACTCTAAAGGTTTATAGACTCGGACTATCTGACCAAATGAGGGAGGCAACAAATACGACTCAAAAGGGGCCTATCCTGAGGATTCTCTGACTTTGGGTGTTGAAGTCAGGGGACAGATACACAATAAGACAAAAAACATGTCCCAGGATTACTGCACAATGTTTTTTAACCCCCAAAAATTAAAGACCAAGGGTTAGTCCAAGATGCAAAATCAGGAAGGGTGAATTTGACTTGAGTGCTCATTAGAAACAGAACTATGGGCGGTTAAAAGGAACCTTTTGGGTTATCCTGATATTAGGTACAACATTATGATGTGTGGTCAAAAAAATTATTTTTCTATCAGTTATGCTATGTTGGCTCACCATTTTTCCTTTTCTATGGATGACTGTTTCATGTCATTCTGTTAAAAGGGGGACTATTTATTTGTTTCTCTGTTTATGGCTGAGTTAGGGCCTCAGTAAATTTGAGCTCTGACATCTCCCAACACAATAAAATCCATCATCAGAATTGAATTGCTCTGTAATGGGCTTGCTTGACTTCAGTAAGTATTGCTGGGAAAAAATGCCAACGAATGCACAGGACTCCTGAGTTAGATCCAGCAGCATAAAATTTTCTCCAGGACAATTTAATTTTAGTTACAGCCAATAAATCTTGTTATTATTGGTAGGCTATGTGTTCAAAGTATGGGTATTAAATCACAGCCTTATTGGTTTTAATGCCAGTGACTCGAGCTTACTGATGTAAGGTAATCAGTTTCCCAATTCTAGCCACTGCTTTAGCAGCAGAGCTTCTTTATTTAGTTAATCTATCAGGAAAATCCAAAGACTTTTATCTCCATGGCGGTTTTTGGAGGTGCTGGAGGAAAGAAAAACACACGATTCACCTCTAGTGGCTTCCAGACAATTTTTCATTTGTTGCCTGTTGGGATGTCATTCAATGAGACCTGTCAGTGACTAAGTAAATAGACCAGTGAGGAAGGCATTTCTCTCCTGCCCAGTCCCGGACAGCCTCAGGCTGGTTTAAATAAATAGTTAGAAAATAATGTATTGTTGAGCTTAAAATAGCACATTAATTATATAAGGTATTTGCCCTCTTCTTTTTGGGTAAACACGTCTCTTTTTTTTTTTAAACATGACCTAGGTTAGCCATCCATATATAGCCAGTAGAGCACTGAACAATGCAGAGTGTCTGTGCTTGTAAAATGGAGAGGACTGAAGCTGGGCTGTATCAGTAATGCTCCCTGGTGTGGGAACACTTTAAATAGCGGGGCTTACTGAAAGTGAGTTCCCTTGCCCCCGTCCCTGCCCACCCCTCAGCTAGGGCAGGAGCAGAGTCTTGGGGCCAGCAGCCAGCACCCGGGGGAGAATGGCAGCTGCTATGGCCTGGACATGGGACCAGCAGCGCAGGCTAGGTTAAAACCTGGGTGTAGTGCAGCACTCCAGTTCTTTCCCATGTTTATGCTCCTGCTTACACCAGCGACAAATCTGGCCCAGTATTTTCAATAATTACAGACTGGTTCCTGACCTTGGAAATCTTTTCCTTGCTGCACATTTAAAATAACAATTCTTTGGCTTACGAAAGGCAGCATAATTTGGCTTTAAGGGGGGAAACTCCCCCCCCCCAACTGAAAATGTTCATTTGGGGGAAAAATTGCCATTTATCATCAGGGTTATTCCCTTCTCCAAATGACATTGCTCTATTTCCAATATTCATTTAGGGATACATCTACACTGCATGGCTATTTCAGGATACTGGAGATATCCCAAAATAGCTCCCCCATGTCTACACAAGCTACCCATTTTTTAAAAATATTTTTTGAAATAATGAGCATGCTATTTCAGCTTGCCAGTAACCCTCGTTTCGTGAGGGTTAAGCGATGTCTCACAATAGCATGTTATTTTGACATGTGGTACTGTGTAGACATGCCAAATTTTGAAATAGCCTTTTTTGAAATTCAATCGAAATAAGATACGCAATTTGCATAGTGCAAATTGGGTATCTTATTTCAAGTTTAGGGTGCTGTGTACATGCACCCTTGGCTATGTACCTGAAAAATGTTGTCAACTAGAAAATTTTGTGGTTTTTTTTTTTACTTAAAAAAAAAAACAAAACTTTTTTAGTATACTTTTCATTTTACACTGAAGGAGGAAAGTCCCTAAGGCTATGTCTAGACTGCAAGCCTTTTTTGAAAGTATCTTTTGAAAAAGCCTCTTTTGAAAAAGAGCATCTAGACTACAATCAGTACTTTCGAAAAAGCAAGCCGCTTTTTTGAGAGAGAGCACCCAGGCAGTCTGGATGCTCTCTTTCGAAAAAGCACAGTTTGCATTACATAACCCCCTTTTTTTTTAAAAAAGTTGCTATTCCTTGTAAAACAAGGTTTTCTGTGGTTGAAAAAACTGCCACGTTCTTTTGATTTACTTTCGAAAGAACACGGCTGCAGTCTAGACGCAGGTAAAGATTTTTTTGAAAAAAGGCCACTGTTTTTGAAAAATCCCTGTAGTCTAGACACACCCTAAAAGTCTGATTTGTACTTTCAAATGATGCAGAAAAAGAACAAGATTACAGGTACAGTAACACAAACATGAGAATGCACATGATTCTTATTTGTTTTGTAACTTATATCCACAGACTGGTTCTTTTTTGGCAACATCTAGCCCTGTGACTACTTTCTGTTTGGCAGAGTAAGTACCTTCAGATTCTTAATCCTTTATTTTTCTGATTGTCTCTATGGGAAAGAAAAGGACCAGTCAATAAAAAGAAGTCATATTGAAAAGAATGTGATTTAATTGTTATCATTCATGGGCATTAAAATTCAGATACATTATGTAATACAAGATAATGACATAGCACATTAATTCATTCTTATGACGAAGGTTTTATATCCTCAAGAACATAAAATAGCACTGATTTTTAACAGGTCTTAAGCATCCTTTTCAGATACATTCCAAGCACCTAGCAAACATTTTCAAAAGTTAAGGCTGTTTTGTAACTTTGACATTATAAAAGTGAAATGGAGCTACTTTAGTAGCTGTAAAAATAAATACAATTTGTCTCATCTATTCATTTGTGCCCATTTCACACGCAATTGGATGCTTTTATTCTCTTTAAAACTGCTTATAGTGTAGCTAATAATTTCTGCTTTATACATGTGTGCTCCCAGCAAACTATCCCATCAATGTTATCTGTTAGAATGATAAATAGATATAATTATATCTCTGGTGAGCTAAAACTAGCCTTATTCATTAGAATACTCCCGAGAAAACCACCAGGCTTTTCCTTAAATAATATAATAAACTTTGCACACAGATCTTCCCAATCTTGTGGGTCTGAGTTTGATTCCTGACAATGTATGTATTCAGTGGGGTTTCACAGGTGCAAATGGATGGTAGAATTTGTCCAGCAGTGATCATATTACAGCTCATTGTTATTCCAGGGTTCCAGTTCCCCTGGGCTATGACTTTTTTTGCTGCAAAACTGGAGGATCTGGCCACCTGGGGATTTCCTGGGTTTAGGGGGAAGATCTGGTTGGCATAGAACCAGCTTAGCCACCAGCTGCATCATAGCCCCTTATATATGGAGCCTGGGTATAAAGTATGTGCTTCTGCATTCTAGCTATCAAAAAGGCGTCTTGGGTAGCAAGACACAGACTAGTATAGCCCTAAATCTAACTTGCAGAGGAGGCTATCTAACTTCAGAATCAGAGAGCTGCAAAGGTATTATAAAACTGACTTGTCCCACTTGGGTGTGGAATATGTAAGTGCACCTAAGGATTGAGATTTGAATGTTCACACTTCTGCCATTAGAATCCTTGGCTAGATTCTCTTTCTGCAGAATAAGAAACCTGTGGGAATGGGCTCTGGGAAAAGGGGTTGCTGAGATGACTTCAGTGGAAAGCTGTCCGGTGAGTTGTCTCTCTTTGAGAGAGCCGTGCCCATCCCCCAAATATGAAAGCTCACTCTGGAGGTCAGGATCTCTCATATGAAGGCTCTGTGGCTTTACATCAGCTCTTACTCCACATGGACAAACAGTCTGCTTGGGAACTGGAGCCACATGAGTGACTTGCTCTAGCCTTTGCTGAATCCAGGACTACTGAAAGGGCCATGCAGAAAAGTGAAGGCAAGGTATTTCTTGTCTCCTTTTTGTAGGCTGAAAGGGGAGGGGGTGTTCTGCATCCCTTTGGCATCACTGCTATCTCTATCTTGCCCATACCTCCCTGGCACAACCATTCTCCACTCCAACTCCTTCCTCTGGATTTGCCTCAGACTGCTCAAAAACGTTTTTACTCTGTGTGTGGGGGATGGGGGGGGTTGTTTTGAATGTAACTGAGCCCTCCTTCTGAAGGAAGAGGAGGAGAAACTGGCTGCAGGGAGGTATGATCTGGCCTCTTCATTGCACATGTTATAATCACTTATGATTACATTGTGCTAGAGTTTTCAGAAACCCTGGCTCTTGAGGAAGTAAATGTTATTATACTCTTTTTTTTCTTTTCGATGACATTGTTTCAGCTGGAAAGGATGACCCAATATCCATATTGCACAAAGTTGTCACCAGGAAGGAATTAGCCTTCTGTACTTGTTGGGAATGGCAACATGCTCATCAATTCAATACCTTTCTACCACAATCCTGTGAGGCATTGAGCCAATACATAGAATTTAAATTGGAATCACAATCATTTCAGGAATCATGATTTATTTACTCCTATTTGTGGGGGCAGGGGGCAAAGCTACACACAAACATTCATGAAAGCATTCCAGCTCTGTTGTACTGGGATACTACTGCTATATTTCATTTAGATATGGAAATTTTAAAACTTCATTTAATACAAATATTGGTCCTCTGAAATCTTTATCGTCAGCAACCATGGGGTAGGGAAACAGATTTCTACATTTGCTTGGTTTTTAATAGACAGGGCTCGACAAATCACTATATCTACTCGCCTGTGGCGAGTAGATTTCAGTCAGTCGCCCCGTTCACCGGTGTTGCGCGCATGCGCAGTGCCGCTCTGGCGCATGCGCGATGCAGGGCTGGCAAGTAGGTCTTGCCACGGTTTGTCGAGCCCTGTTAATAGTGATACTAAAATGGGTGGGAATTTCAAAATTGTCTAATGGATTTGCAAGGTTAAGATTTTAGACAGTGACTTGTAATTTTTGGTGGCCCAGTTTTTGGGTGTCCATCTTGAAATACCTTTAAAGCCTGATTTTTTTTTCAGAAAGTTCTGTGCACCCGCTCTTTGAAACCAGGCTGCTTTAAGATGCCTAAAGTTGGACCCCCAGAATTGAAGCATCCAAAAATCACTAGTCATGCTTGAAAATTTTGGACTCTTATACCAACTTCCCTGATTTGAATATTAAATTAATGGAAATCTGGTGCCCAAATCGCTCAGGAAGCTGCAAAAACCTCATGCACTGTGCACAACGCTTCCTTTCTGTGATACTGGAAAACATAGGTAAATGTTTCCCATGTAGATTTCTGCAGATTGTAGTGAAATTGCTACAGTTTTCCATTCATTTTAATAATGATCAATCATAAAATCTGATTAAATTTACTGTCTTTGTTTGTTTGACCAGTTTAGAAACAGAAGTATCTGTATGGGGATATGAATTGGACTTTATAAGTATCCACATAAACAGGAAACAAGGTGAGGGCAGGAGGTTGGTTTGTTTTATCTTTCCTAGTTGGGACTAGATTTTTCTTTCTGCCTATAGCAACTGTATTGAATGTTAATGAATTTTCCATGTGTTTATCTTTCAAGATGTGTAAATAAGAGAAAATATAAAACATAATATCAAGCTGCTAAATTTTACATTTTGTCTGTCCAGCAGTTCATCTATACAACTGCCCTGAGTAGATGCTAAATGCTGCTTAGCAAATGGCCTTTAGAGTTTAAAAATAACTCAGTAAAGCTACTCAAAGGTAATACAACACTTCTCAGGCATCTTCTGTTGGAATTAAGAAGTAGAGTTCACTCAGTTAATTATTCATCCACTCAATGTTTCATACACAATAAAAACACAATTGAAATGTTCAGGAGCTCTAGTTGTGCTTTTTGCTATGCCTGGGCTCACATATCAGCTTATTTTTTCTTAAAGGCGAGATTTTAAATGATAAAATAAGTCCTGTTTTGTGGACTATTTGAATTACTGTTTTCATCAAACTGTATATATTGACCCCCTGTGAAAAATATTTTTTCTGTTTTTTTTATTTTGCAAAACCTCACGGAACCCCTGTTAAGAAAAAATTAGCATATTTCAAAACTGCACATCTCATTTATTTTTTGTAGTACATCTCAAAATGGTACAAATGTGTAAAATTTGTGCTTGTAAAAGCTTCTGCTTTGAGTAGCCTTACAGTTCTTAATTTAGTCCTAGCAATTTTCAAGCTATTGCATGCCCCATTCATGAAAAGTATATTGTATTCGGATGGTGTGACTGAAAGAGTTTGGCTCTAAAGCTTCCTTACCTAGAGCTTCATTCAATTATATTAATTTAAAATATCTGTTGAATGATTAAGTTCAAAAAACAAAACCAAATTAAAGGGTTGGGCTTATGAAAATGACTCTTTACAGTAAGTAAAAAAGGTTTATCACAGTTTTGGTAACTTGCATGAGTTCGTATTGAAAAGAAATCTTTCACATGTTCTTAATGAATTTAAAATAGTTGTGCTCTAGGTACTTTCAGTTGTACGCTCTGAAACAGTAGACACCATATAGCTTGTGTTTTTTATCTGGGAAGCCTACAAAGCGCACTGCAGCTTCATCAGGACTGCAGCGTCGTCTTGGCCTGGAGATGGGGTAGCGGACACTGCCGTCAGCCAGCCAGCCCGCATCACAGCGATCATATCCTAGAAGTTTCCAGGCAGCAAATATCTGGCCTACTTTAGCAATCTGGGATCCATCCTTGAGGCAGGCCTGCACAGCTTCATCATAGGTCAACTTGGTTGGATGGATTAGATAGTAAAAACGGCCTAGTGGAAAGAGAAAAGGTAAAGTCTTAGGCATGTGACATGGTTAAGAAATTGTTCAAAAAATAAAACAATCCTCATTACAAAATCATAAAATTAAGAATATCAACAATCTATTTATTCTAGAGCTGGAAATTGTTTTGAACCCTGCTTTCAAAACTTGGACTTAGATTCAAATACATCAAGTTCACAATCTGCTTAGGGGAATCCGAAGAAAAAGAGCAGGGGGAGAAAGACAGAAATGTTCTTGGTACCTTTCCCTCTTGCCACTCAGTCAATAGGTCATGCATGTATGTCAACTTAGAGTGAGAAGACAGTGGAAGTTTTGTACTGTGCTAAATACATTTCTATCCCTACTTCAAAGCAGAGGTTTCCCTCTTCCCTTGAAGACAGAAAATATAGAGGAAAAAGTATGAGGAGTAGGAAGGGGAGAAGCAGGTTCAGGAATTCAAAAGAGGCCTCCTATCCTGCCATGAGGTTCATACAAGCACATCCATGTGCACTCACATAGAATGCCACTGAAGTCCCAGAAAATAGAGGTTTTCAAATTGCAGACTACATAAGATTCATCTCTCTAGTTTTTCACAGAAATGAAAAAATTATTGCAGTGCTTACATTATGATGGGTTTGCCATCTACATGGCAAATTAAACTAAAACCATCACAGTGTTCCATTTTCTTGTCATAAACAGAGAGAGGTATGTTTAAGATCTGACTGTGATAATATGTATGTAAAGTGATTAGGCCTAGCAAATGCAGTATTAGTCTTTCATGGCAGAAAGACCTTCACATGGCTGACACAATGTTCCCGATGAAATACAAGCACCATTTCAAGTCTTGCTGTAAGAAGGCTGAAAAATGCATGACTTCTAAGAAGCAGGGGTGACGGTTGATGAAGAACGTGGTGGGCAGAAGAGACACCCGATGGGGAATGTGGCCACCTCCCTTCCTAGCCTGGGGGAGGGATGGGACAACGCCCTCCATCCCAGACCCTGCTTTTGCTCTGCCTCTTTCCCCAAGCCCCATCCCCTGAGGAATGAGGCCCAGGAGACTAGTAGGTCCAGGGATCTGGCACTTGTGGCAGGGGTTGGGCCCCCAGGCACTCACTGTTGGTGAGTGCGGGGGCAATCCTGCCCCCTCCCATTCCCTGAGCAATGTGCTGGGAGCAGCAGGAGCAAAACAAGCTAGGACCAAGTTGTTCCACTTCCAACCCACCCTGTCTGTGGTGTGTGTGCAGGGGAGGCGGGTAGAGTGCCCCATCCCCTGCTGCAAGTATCATGATCCCTGCTGTTCTGGCCCTGCTGGCTACTGGCCTCTTGCCCCTTATATACAGAGCATTTTGGGGGGCACATGCCCCCTCACCACTCCATGCATTGCCTCTGCTGAGAAACATAGTTTGAGCATTTAGTAGGCCAAAAGCCTGCCTATCTTAAGTCTTCATTTCATTAGTTGGAAACATTTACTATTTTTTTAAGGCATCACAGGGTATGATCTCACTGAAGAAATGATAACACTGATTGTGCTATGAGAAAAACGATCTCTGTCTCAATGTAATACAAATATATGTCACTAGTAAAACTAAGGGGAGTCTCTTTTGTTGAATTATAAGCAACAACAATATAAATATTTATTTCATCCATCAAGGAAAGGCATAATGTAAATTAATTGTGTTCCTTCTATTCAATATCTTCAGGGTTATTTATCATTGCTAGACTGACAAATAAACAACTGCTAGGTGGAACTGCAGTCAGCTGATAGACTAACAATTCCCAAATAAACATGGCAGTCTTTCAAACTGGCTCACTTCCAGTGGCCAATTTAAACAAGGAATGAAGTAATTTTTGCATGGGGCCCTCTTGTTTGAATTCCAGAGGGAAATATTATGTTTCTTTATTAAAGAATAAGCCAGATTATTATTATTATTTTTCCTCCTTGTGAGAAAACCAGTTCTGCTCCCTTTCATATGATTTTTCTCAGAATTAAGGAGTGCCATATCGGGTGGACTATATAAAGAAAATGGGAATTGCTCCATTTTAGGCTGGCAAATGTTTATATTAAGACTAATGGTGACATTGGGTAATGTAGCTATATAGTAAAGCAAATTCTTTCTTCTGTTTCAATGCATTTGAAATCATTGTATGTAACATTTGCTAATATAGAAAGTTTCTATGATTCGATATAAACTCTTCATACTCTTGAGAGCTGAAGGTGGTTTGCTGTAAAAGCGAATGAGTTTCAGATTGCCTGATGGTCTGCAAATTCCACTGACTTTATTGAAAATCCATGGGAAATTACCTTTCTATTGACACAGGGTTTGACCAGCTGCTAATAAAGTTGTGCATTTGACCCACGACCTCAGTAATAAGAGCACTCTTAATATGCCTATTTCTGAAATAGGCCATCACTAATTGTAAATGTAGTGCATGAAATGTTCATCTGTATCCAGAACATTTTGTTAAATTAAAAAAATAACTAATAAACTCAGTGCACAACTGCTGGCCCCCTTGAGAAGAGACCTTCCAGGCTCTAAATAAAGCATTTGTTAAATTTTACAATGTGTACAGACAACATGTGAACAGCTACTTCAATTTGGTGTAATCTCATCCCCAAATATCAAGAGGAATAAGTGTGAAGTGATGCCTGACTGTTTTTGGATAGAACTACATTTTTCTTTTTGTAAAATGTAACCCACTAAGATGCGGTGGTAGAAACTTTTACCTTGCACTTGTAAAAAAGTCAAGAACTTGTCTGTCAATTCCTTCTTTTCCTCTTCCTGTGCACCTATTTATTTTGTTTTAATTATTTGCTGTGCAGTAGATATGACATGCACATTAACAAAGAGGTGCTACAGAAGGCCCTCTGTACCACTGAAACTCCAGGTTAAGAGAGGTGGGGTTGGGAGCTCAAGAGGCATTCACTGGTGTAGAGGGTCTTCCCTTGAATATATAGGTCCTGAACACTGAGGTAAACTTTGCCATAGGAGAGCTGTTGTTTCTAGCATTCCCTCATATCATAGTGACAATCCCAGGTTTTGATCAAGGGTGCTATTTGAGCACATGGGGGGAGGGGGAGCGGAGAGCAGCCATGCACTCCAGGACTTGGCTAGCTTTTCATCCTGTTCCCCAGATGGCCAAAGGAGTGAGGGGAAAGTGCTTGCCTTCCTTGCATTCCCTCACACCTGGCTTTTGAGCTCCCTTTACCAGCCAGGTATGAGAGGAATGCAAACACGTTCCCCTCACTTCCTTAGCATGGGGGACCTGGATGAAAAGCTACCTGCATCCTGGAGTGTACGGCTGCAACCACCCCTCTCGCTCCCCTCCATGTGCCTGAAATGATGCCCTTTGGTTTTGATCCTTACCAGACCGCTAAGCATTTTACCTCTTCCCTGTTTTGTGGTGGTCTTTTCTACTGGCAACCAGACACCTTTTGTTTGCGCCAGCTGTTTTCAGTTTAAAATGAATACAGTTCTCATGTATGCCTTGTTCTGTTGGGGGGTTTGCCTGGAGTAATTGAATTACTGAAGGCTGAAGTCATATTGTTTGTGTTTTGCCACTATATCACATGCATGTAATTAAGTGATGTAGGCAAAATAAAAGAACCTCTCCTAGTACCGTCTACCTTTGAAGGCTCTAATGTGATCAGAAATCATGTTAGAACCCCCAAATCATGAATAAATAAACCCAGCAACCATTGTTATTAATCTGTCTCTTGACTTTTTAGCCAGAAGAACAAAGTGGAGTTATGTATGTCAATGTGATTGATTGGTCCATCAGCCCTCACAGAGACCATCGATCACAATACATCATTTGTGTTGTTCTAGCCAGTTCTGCAGCAGTCCATCTGGCAGCAGCACCAGACATGGACTGGCATGGCGCACTGCTGTCTAGGACCCCTGAGCTCAAGTGATCCTCCAGCCTTGGCCTTGCCAGTGGCTGGGATTAAAGGTTTTCACCATTGCACCCACTGGCTGTGTATGTGTCTGATAATTTCA